ACCCAACACCACCTTACACCACACCACGTCGAAAAATTATAGCAACGTAGCAAATTTATGCTTAGCTAGTCTGCTATTATTAACAGGAGAAAAAGGCTACGACAAAGGCTTCTGTCGGCAGTGATGAAAAGAAGGGCCTTCGAGCTCCCTGTGGATTTTCCGAAAGCTGCACGAGAAGACGTTCGAGTAGGCGGCGCAAAAGTTTTTGGGGCAAGAAGGTAAGAATAGTACAGTTGTCCCTGCATTTCTGAATGGTAATGTACATTACTTATGGAGGCATAATAGTTATACACTAACATTTACTCATGATTGTTAGCTGCACGGCTGGTAATAGCGCCTTAAGGTGGAACCAAACTAATTCAGAGCGCATTTTGGACAATTTTGTTATTGCTCGATTCGCMAAACTAGTGCTTCAATTTAACTGGATTTTTCATATAATGTGCTTCGATTATCCTAGATTCTAGCAGTCTATTTTATTTTAAGATTTTTTAAGTGTTTAGCCTATTACGGCCAAAAAACAGTGCTATTTTTAGTTTTTGGCTTTTTTCTCCTCATCCTCAGGTACGACTTTTCTAAAMTTTTCAGACTCTTACCATCTAGTACTAATGCAGCCTGTGTGTAATTTTGGATGGAAAGTCTAGGGCAGAAAAAAAGTTATGACGCCGCTTCAAAATTCGATCCAAAATTTGAAGCATATAAAACATTGCGCTGTAAAAGCATTGCCATTGAATGGATTGCCTTGAGGTTTTCACTATTCTAATTTCAATGATTTCACTGTTTCATTTAGTATTGGTCATTTCCCGAGTACACTACTCCGTTTCAAAGGTCACGCGAGTTACCTGTCATATCCTAGCCGTGCACTGTTAAGATCAGCCAGTATGCTGCTCCTGGCTCAATAAATCAAAATTTGAAATTTGTGTCTATCGAATACCGTATGATAAACCTTTAACAGTMCTAGTATCACAGATTGGTATTTTACCCCTTATTTTTCAGAGCCAAGACAACCAACAAACAGCCCACAGCTCGTTTGCACAGGACGATTTCGATCAAGTTGTGTCATACATCACAAAACTGGCAAAAGAAATCAAAAATGAAAAGAAAAACAAGGAATAATTCAAACAGCTCTAAAAGGAAGGGCTTTTTTAATTTTTTCGACTTCTGCTGAATGTAAAATTCTTTTTTGTGAGGTTTTATAATTACAATACCAAATAAGCATGTTCTTTTTTAAAAATTAAAAACATTTTTGACTATGCACCACAAGACCGGCGGGACGCCGTGCAACATTGAGCCGTATCACTAACCAAGAAGGGATAGGATCAATCAGGTTTGGCATATATATCAGCCAGTACTGATGGAGTAGTTGTGTCATTATGAGTGCAATTATATAACGATTAAAAATTAAAGATTATCTTAAAAATGCAGTTTGATCGACAATTTACAATTTATTTAGCGCGCACTTTAGAACCTGGCCGCTAAGCAAACAAACGGATACTAGGGGAACCCGGCAGCTTTGAGTTTGTTTGCCAAAAAATAGACGCTCTGTACCCTACTAGAGTCTTAAAAAGCTAACCATCATACAATTCGAGATGTGTCCATGGCGGTGATCACACGGGGTTCTTCAGAGTCGAAAGTGGATTTATGGTGGAAGAATTCTTCGCACCCGAGTTTTATCTAGAATGATCGTTTTAGCTTACTGGAGAGCTGCATTAGCATGTGTTTTTTTGATTCTGCGGTAAAATTGTGGCAGTAGCTTTATTTTTCTTGGATTCATTGAGTTTCGATTAGAGGTTGGTGTTGCCTTGAGTGTGCAGCYTTTCCATTTTCTGAAGCAGGAGGACAAAATAAAACGATAACATCCGTAAAAACGCACCAAACTGGCTTCAAARTTAACAAACATCRAAARATACAACAAGCTATCAAGGGAGTCGTTTTTATTCTCAAAAATACTAATTTTACATGCTACGAATATTGCCGTTAATATACATAAWTTCAAATAGTAAAATACCACAGAACAAGAGAGAGTAATTGGGCTGCCTGTGCTTGCGTAAGGAAATGGATGCATTTGACTAAGTTGCTATATACTGTTCCTCTTTCGAATAAGGACGTACTGTTTCAAATGAAAAGTCGTTTCAGAAAAACGCTTTGTAASTATTATGAGTGAAAATAAAATCATAAACAAGAACAAAACACCCCGGCATTTGGAGCATCCAGTGGGTTCACTCCGGGAATTATCAACACCAAAACTGACTTATTCAAACCACAGGGAAACCGGCTATTTTTTT